TCAGCAGATGTGTATTATTCCAGTGACTCTAATGGAGAAGTTGGATGCTACATGAAAGATCCTAGCTCTCATCTATTAATTACCATCTTCATCTACTTTTTTCTCCCTCCTACCATCCAGTAAGAACAAGAAGTAATGAAATAACTTCTATGTGAAGAGATACAACCTTGTTTAATATATCAGCTAAGTTTTAACTAAGGAGAAAAAAAAAAATACAGCCCAAAGAGAAAGGAACAGTAACTTGGTATAAAAGAACAAAAGGAATCCTTCTTCACTCTGTTCAACTTCCAAGGTGACACTGAAAAGGTAAGACAGTTACTGACAAAATCAAGGGAAATAAAAAACTTCTGTTCTACAGACCTGTGGCAAAAGAAGCTTTTACCTCTACACAGGTGCATTTCATCAGCCCAAGAAAAGACAGCTTCCTGATACTACAGTGGAGCATGGGGTTTCCAGTAGTAGTTTCCATTATAGTATGAAATCTATTTCTACACCATCAGCCCCCAATAAATTTTGAAAAAAGAAAAAAGAAAAAACCCACACAAAGAAGTGAGTTCTGCTAGTTTTTAGAGTGAATAATAGATAATGCTGCTGTTGCAAATGAATTGCTTGAGTGAGAGATGACACAAAACTTTATCACCAGACAGCACAGAGCCATTCTCACAAGAAAAACAGACTTGGGATGATGAGTCTAACTGCTACATTAGCAAAGACAGCCACGAGAGCTCATAAAACACCATCTTGCATTAGCAAGATCACCTTTCTAGTATATGCACAAGAAAAAATAAACATAATTCAGCTAAAAATAAGCATTTCATATGCTTGTATCCACATCACATGGAGATCTCGAATGGGCTTTAGCTCATTAGGCACTTCATCATGGCAGCAATGAAAGCTTCTCCAAACTGGAACTGGATGGCGCTCCATTAAACTACAATTCAGAGCTTCTGAGCTCCACAACCATCACAGTCTGTTTTACAGTGCAGCCATGTCTCGTTATTTTCTCAGCAAACCACATTAAATAGGAGCTAACTACCTGCATTATCTTAGCTAAGTGCTTAGTTGAGCTTTCAGTCTTGGTTTTCTTATCTCCAGAGTCTCTGTAAGACAAGCACAGAAAGCCTTTTTACTGTAACTATTCCCTATATGTTACAAAGCAATCCACCTGATTAAGCTTCTAGAAAAGCCCATATATCTACCAGAAAGTTGTCAGGTTATTTTCACTTTTCTTAAAAGGTCAGTTTTCTCCACCAGGATCTCTGTAGGCCAAGTACATGGCCTGAAACAAGAAGGTGCTCTGAAAAAAAAATACCCAAACGCCCTGGTGAGCTAACACAAGTCATTTTCCCGCACTTGGGCTTTAAAAAAATCACTTGAAATGTTTTTTCTTCATGTATCTTGCACTGGTATCATTTTGAAAAAGTCAGCACACATATTCAAACAAACAAACAAAAAGTAGCTCTGCAGACTTGAGAAACCAGCCTAGTTTAAGCAGACAAAAAAGCAGACAAAAAAAAAAAAATCACACAGAAAGTCATTTTTAATTCAAAGTTACATGTGTCATACAAGCATTTAACATAGAGATTAAGAAGTTTATCAGATAAGCAGATAACTCAGGTGCCAGAAACATGCTTAGCTGACATGGGAGTGACAACTTTTAACTGTTCAATACAGACAGGCAACATTAGCTGTTATTCACTTGCACTCAGCTATAGTTGTAAGAACCAAAAATTGCTGTCAAAAATCATTTTTGAAGCACTGCAATGGACTTGTAAAAATGGATAGGCATTACTCCCAGATTAGTAATACAATATACTTGTAAGAGAATGATATGTTGTTTAGAGCCGCAGACACTGTAGGTACAAATGCCCCCAAAAATAAAAGTTGATGCGTGATTAAGCATTTCTAAAGAGAAAAGCTCAAAATTTATGTAAGTATTCCTTAAAAGACTTATGTTGTTACCTTGGAAACATGCTCTGCATCCACCTAAGCACAGTTAGCACATATCTACATTTTCAATATTCAGCAACAAATATGATGCAAATTCCCTATCCATGGAAAGTCTTTCTGAAAGAGTCTTACACTGTAATCTGAAGGGGCTGGAGTCAAATTAAACCTTCAGTCATACATGGCAGTATTACAAAAGAGATAAATGAGTCAAACGAAGCCAAAATTGTTCTGGTGAGGGGTCTGGAGCACAAGTCTTATGAGGAGTGGCTGAAAGAGCTGGGATTGTTCAGTCTGGAGAAGAGGAGGCTCAGGGGAGACCTCATTGCTCTCTATAACTACCCGAAGGGAGGTTGTAGTGAGCTGGGGGTCGGCCTCTTCTCTCATGTATCTAGTGACAGGACTGGAGGGAATGGCTTCAAGCTGCACCAGAAGAGATTCAGGCTGGATGTTAGGAAATACCAGTTCTCTAGAAGAGTGGTCAGGCACTAGAATGGGCTGCCCAGGAAGGTGGTGCAGTCACCGACCCTGGGGGTGTTCAAGGAGTGTTTGGATTTTGTGTCGAGGGACATGGTTTAGTGACAACTATTGGTGACAGGCGGATGGATGGACTGGGTGATCTCGTGGGTCTTTTTCAACCTTGGTGATTCTGTAACTCTATGAAAATTAAGACCAAAATTGACACTGCCAGCAGGTATTTTTCACATCAGTACAACTATCAGCTGCACTTGGTGTCTAGCTTCCCTCCTATCCAGAACAGGAACATGTTCTTAATTCATGTCACAAGATCTTGTTTAACTGAGTAGTTGTTTCTTTTTGTTCTTGACAAGTATCTACTCTGAAATGGGAAAGATGGAACTCAAGCCAATACCAGTGTTTGTAAAGCACAAAGTTTCCAGACCACGCTCTTAAATATATTTGGGAATCTTAGATACAACAGCCCATGGTTAACTGGCAACACTTAAGTCTCCCTTAACAGTAATGATTCAGGCACCATTGGACAGCTACCACAGATCACCTATTTGTGGGATCTATCAGCTCTTTCACAACTGTTTAGATTTAGAAGATGCGTTACCTTCTTCATTATTAAAATGAGAAAGACACAAAGGTAATTACAGCCTACAAATAGCTGTCTGGACAGAGACAAAACAATCCAGAACCATCTTTGTATGCTTAAATAGATAAAGGGTTAACACCTTATTTGTTCCACAAATTAGTTACATCTTTGCTACTCTTGTAGACACTGTGAGCATGGCTTGTTATTCAAACTGAACAGAGATAGCTGTTACATCCATTCCTGCGCTGCTTACAAAATGGAAAGTCTGTGGGGAAATCAGCAGTTAATTTGTTCTATCCTTCCACATCCAATCTTGCCATTCCAAGTCCTTAAGCATAGGGCAGGTACCCCAGAGCTTGACTACTGTCTTATTTTCAGAGAAATTCAGAAGAAGGTAATATGAGAGGAAAGTGTTAAGCAATTGCAAGACATAAGAGATACTTGAAGAATAAAAATCTTAGTGCTTCTAGCTAAAGAGGTTAAAGAAGTTATCCCAAAACAACAGCTACAAGGGTGACAGTCATAATTCTATGACAAGGTGAAACTACGTTACGCATGCAGCTGGCATACAATATTAGCATACTTGTAGATATTCAGGAAACATCTGGTTCAACCAGCCAAAGCTCAAGAGCACTGAGATCATCTTGAACTGATGAACGTGTTCCGTATGTGCAGAAGGCAGCTTATAGAAGATATCGAAGGACTTGCAACTCAGTTCAGAAGAAAATGTCAACAAAACCTCTGCTGTTAAGAAGACCCAGGACCTTGAATTTTACATACAAGGTTCCTGTTTACTGTACTGACTGACTGTAAGTCCAAAACACCTGAATTCAGTCAAATGAAACTGCACATTTAGGAGGAGTCATGTCATTGGTTGAATTTGCTCTGCAGCCTTTTCTGTTACTCCTGGAATAATTCCAAAGTCATCAACACAAAGCCCTCTGAAGCTGGAGCCTTCTCCGAGCCAGTTTGTGGTTACCCCAATACAAACCCAGTCAGAGCACCATAACTTACACTCAGCAGTCTCCAAATCCACTTTCATCTTTTAAAGATGCAACCTCGGTGCCAATCCTTTTAGAATAGCCTCGAGTAGCCCAGAAACATGCAGGTGGACAAAACATATAGCCGTTTCATCACACCAACCACAACGACCTTAGCCCTTCCCCGGGGAATTCTTGCCACATTGCACACTTAGATCTCTAACTCAGATTAATATTAACCTGCTCTCACCTGCCATTCCCACGGCAGGGGAGGGCGCCAGGTACCACCCAGCCTTCACACCCCCCTTTCAAGCAGCAGCCTCCTCCTCCTCCTCCTCCTCTCCCTACAGAGCCCTACGCGAGGACGTCGCATCCCCATCCCTTAGGAGGCAGCCCTCTTCATCCCTTTTTTCATTGAGCAGATCCCAAGAGCCGCCTTCCGCGTCAAACCAGGACTTTAAATGCGGCTTAAGCTAAGCGTAAACACAACCAGCAAAGGCCCGGCCCGGTGCGGCCCTGCAGAGGCCTGCCGCTTTTCCCGCAACGAGCATCGGCAGCCGCTGGCAGCTCCGGCAGACCCGCGCTGCCCCCCGCGGCCCCCCACGAGCCCACCCAACCCGGCATCGCTCCAACGACGGGCATCGGCCCCCCTCTCGCTCTCCCCCGACAAACGGAGCCGTGGGGGAGAAGGAAGCGCCGACGCGCCGCCAGACACGCCAACAACGCCCGCTCCCGCATCGCAAAGCCTCCCGTCCCAGCGCCCCCCCCCCCCCCCCCGCATCTCCCGCCGCCCCCCAGGGCGCGTCGCCATTTCGTGAGGAGCGCGCTGCGAGCGGCTCGCTGCGACGGAGGGGGAAGGGAAGGGGAGGGGAGGAGAGGGGAGAGAAGGGCGCCGGGGAGGTGACCGGGGAGACGGATGAGGGGCGGACGCCCCGACCCGAAGCACAACGGCCCACGGCACCCACCGGCCCGGCCCCGTCCAGCCCAGGCCCCGCCGCGCCTCGGCCGCCACTCACAGTTCCGGATATCAGAGATGAAGACGGCCAGGCCTCGCATCCCATCGCCCTTCGACACCGCCGGCATCGTGGCGCGCGATCAGGGCCGCCCAGCGACACGCCGAACCACCGCAACTACCGCCGCCGCCACCGCCCGCTCTCCCCGCGGGGCTCCTCAGGCCGCTGCAGCCGCCGCCTCTGCAGCGCGCATGCGCCGGGGTGGCTCCCGCGCCCCCGCGGGCGGCGGCCGGCGAGGCTGTGGCGCCCCCTGCCGAGCGGAGGCAGCGCCGCAGCGGCCCTGTTCTCCGCAGCCCCTCGGCCGCCCCCGCGGAGGCCCCGGTCATCCTCCCGTCCGCCGGGCCGTAATGCCCCTTCATGTCCTGGGGCATTACGTTTTTCTGCTGGAGGCCACAACCAAGCAGAGCAACGCAGTCCCACCCACACCTCCTCTCGGGATGGAAAACATTTCAAGGTTAAACTTCCTTAAATGCACCAGAGAGGTTGGACTGCACGGAGCATTTAATCTCATCAGCTGGAAATAGATTCAGAGGGTGTCAAAACTGATCTAGACTGCCTAAACAACAGTGTGTTGAGAGGTTCAGTCGTAATGCTAGAGGTTAGCGTACTTAATGGATTATAATGACCTCTACAAGCATTAAGGAATACTGGAGATCACTCATTTAATGTTTTCCTTGCATCCTTCAAGCTGGTTTTTTTTCATCTATGCCTTCATTTTTTCCTTTTCCTTCTGTTTTCATTTATTTATTTTTGCCTGAATTGAGACCAGTAACTAGACTTTAGCTGCAGTCTATCTTCCTGAAAGGCATACAGCCTTGATCTGACACCACCAATTTCACTGTTTCCCTGGGTAGTTTGTTGCTGTGGTTTCATGTCCTGTATTTAAAGCCTACATCCTAAATTTGTAGAGCTTCAGTGCCTCCAAATAATGATACGCTTTAACCTCATATAGAAAGACTCACAATGTTTTCTGGTAATCGCTATGTATATTGCTTAGGTAATTTCTCTCAAGGATATTTTCTGCATGTTTTCAGGATACATTTTTACACCCGTGTTTTTTCATTGTTATCCATTCCAAGGAGAAGATTGCAATACCTGGTAGTAGCCAGTGTATCCATTTTTTTTCCTGGGTGTGGTATATCTAGAACACTAACTGCACTTGTGCACAGTCTTGATACAGATTATCTGCATATGGAGGCTCGCATGAAGAAAAATGTCTTATTTCATAACTTCACAATCAGATTTTGAGGCGTTACAACAATCTACTTTTGAAGTAGAAAACATGATTTCACTAAGTATTTTTCTCAAACAAGCAAACAAACATATTCATGTTTGAGTTAGCCAAAATAAGAAGTTGAACTAATTTCTACTCTTTTAAAAGCAGAGTGACACCTAAAGGACAAGTGCATCAGTCTTGTGTGGCTGCATTCTAGTCACTGCAGCTGCAAGTTGTGCAGGCATGCTTAAAACTACCTTTACATACTTCTAGCTGAATAGATACAATAGTGCCAGGTGTAAACTCTGCTTGAAAAGGGGAGTAAACACACAAATAACTCCTTTGGGGCTCTTCAGTATTTAATTATTTCATTTCTAATTTCCTCAATGCACACTATGCATTATGCAGTTATTTTACATTCACCTCCTCCTACTGTCTTTTGACATCTACCATGCATTTTCTTACATCCTATCTTCTTTTTGCCTCAACAAAGACTTGTGCAATTACAGCGAATGTGTTGGCATGTGTGCCTCTACTTCCTCTAAATCAAGAGCTCGCTAGCCAATTACAGAGGGTAGAGAGAAGATACTCATTTTAGGTGAACAAATAGCCAGCTAAAAGAGAGAGAGAGCCTGTAGTGATCTTTGGATGTATATCCTGACAGAAAGAAATTCTGTAATGTGAACCCAGGGATTATTGGAGAGCAGGGTACACACTAGATATAATTCCTTACAAAACACACTAGCTGATATATCAGGAAAATGTTCCACTTTGAGTTTAATGTCTACAAAATACCCGTCTGTGACAAATCAGACTTCATCTGTTCCATACATCTCAAGATACTATGATTTCTAAAGAGATTTCAATTACTGTAAATCAGCACTAAGGTGGCAATAGTCTCAAGATAATTCCTACTATGCAAAATGTTTTGCAGCACAATTGTTTGCCCAACAAATCCATGATGTTTATCTCTTCCTTATGCCATCCATGAATCGCTATAATCTTCAGAATTTCAACACAATTTAGTATAAAGACTTTGAAAAATTAGTCTGGTCTTTATAAAATGAACATTATTAAACTGTCTGTTTTCACTTGGTGAGTATTTGTTTGTAGGAAGTATAGTTTCCACCACAGTTCTTCTCTGCCTAAAACACATAGCTGAGTAGTAGTTTACAGAGAGAGTTTAACTCTTATTTTGGAGTTTTAGGCGCCGTGCAGTTTCAATTCCTATTTGGTTTCTAAAGCCAAAATGTGATTGATTTTTGAGTGTGATTACATATCATTATGAGGAATTTCAACACCAGAAATCATCCAACAGCCAGCAGGATTTACTGTCCATGCTGTGTTTAGTACTGCCACATCTATTCTGCCACCTACAGCTACTCTTCAGCCCTACATTGAGTGTCTGCCAAAATCAGACTCTAGAATAATTTGGACAGCATTGTGCTTAGGGTATGAAGTCACACACTGTGGGATAGAGCTCTGTTTTGCCAGCTCTTTCTACGTCTGTAATGAATTTCTACACAGAAGGAAATTTTTGTTATTTTTGACAGATTTGTCCCTCACTTGATCAGTTACTTCTTTCTTCTCTTCCTCGTGGTCATTCTAACTATACTGTTATATCTAACTATACTAACTATATAGCAAAAACAGCTAATGAGAAAAAAGAATTTGTGGTTCCTATACCACAAATAGTATGAGTATTAAGTGTACTCAATCTTGTTAATCTACCTGGCACCTAAAGTTCATTATCTATTGATGGAGAGCACAGGTTTACCAGTAATGCCTTCTATCACGTCAGAATATCAGATATGTTGCTTTTAAGATTAAGAAACACAAAGCTACGATAACACCACTATTGTGAAATCTAAATTTCCAGGTATGGATTTCTCTAAATCTCTTCCATGCAGTGAGCAACTCAATGACTGAAAGAGTTTTGCGCTCTACCATGGATATACAAAAGTGTAGAATAGAATAGTTAAGCTTAAAATAAACTCAAAGAGAGTGGACAAGATAAAATAAGGGTGAATTAAGGGTCTCCAAGTAAGCCAACCTTGCCCCTTGCTTGCTGCCAGAGTGCTGACAGCCACCTGAGTGACTTTGTGCATTGCAGTAAATTCTATATTAGTCCTTCTAGCTCATAGGAGGTTTTTTCCCTGACTGTCTTAGTCATCTTTCCCTTAAGCTGCAGGCTCCCAAATGAAGCTATGGGCTTCATTTCTTGCTGAGAAGTCATTTTTGCTTCCAAAAATGACTTTCTTCACTGAGTACGCAGAGTTACTCCCCAGGAAAGGAACATGTTTCTGTTCTCCCCCAGGTGATTGGCAGTGCTCTTTTAAAGGAATAGTATTGTACAGAAAAACACAGAATTTAAACAAAGATCCCCTTATCATTTGGATTTACTTAGCAGCATATCAGTCTTTCAAGGAGAATCCCCAGTACCTGGCAGTGTACCCTTATATCTATGAGTTAAAAAGACCTGTGATTCCCATACAGGCAGCTGCAGGCTCCCTCAGGGGCAGTACGCACAGTGCCAGCTACCTGCAGCAAACCTTTGGTTCAGTCCCACTGAGGGTACAAGAGAGTCAACAGGATAGCATAATAGGAACACAATACAGGAAATGACAGATTGCATTACAGAGTATCTGGAAATAAACCAAATTTTTCATACCCCTGCCTTATCTCTGTCTTTCCTGCTATTGAGAAATGTATCCTGGAAATATCTAACACTTGGGAGAGATGAACGGCATTCTACAAAGCAATAGAAAGTTCAGTACCCAAGCACACAAGTGAACATTGATTCCCCTTTTGAAATCCTCACAATTTGTCTGTGTGACTCAGGGCACAGGGGAAAGCACACATACTCAGTGCTGTATCCGCTTCACTGACTCGAGTTCAGAGGAAAAACACTTCTGTTTTTCGATTCAGTGCTGAATTATGGTTAGATCTTGGATTACACAAGAGGGAAAGAAAGCAAAGGGTAGATGAGGAAATCTTCCAATTCCGCTTCTGGGAAGCGGCACCAAGTGTGAACTGTGGCAAAAAGTAAGTCTGAAAGGCTTTTGTTGGAAAGGGTGGACCTAAACTCTCTAGGTGAGCACCCGGGCAACCTCCACCCGGCAGAGCAGGAAGCACACGAGGAAGTACGGAGCGCCCAGCTAAAGACGGAGCCGCCGCCATGATGGCGCGACCCACTCTCAGCCGCCGCCTCGGCGCCTCCCATCAGGCGCAGGGGCGGCACCGCCCGCCTCCATTTCCGAGGCGGCGGCGGGCGGTAGGTGGTGGCCGCGGGCCGGCGCTGCCTGGAGGCTGCAGCGGCGCTCTCGGGGGAGGGAAGGAGGCGGGCGGTGGTGCGGCGTCCCGTCCGTTTAGGGTATATCGACCTGACCCGCGGCTGGGATGCGGTGATATGGATGGCAGAAGCACCCTGGCTGCCTTGCGGGGGCTGGCCCGGGATAGGTAGGCCGCGGGGCACGCTCAGACCGAGCCCGCGGGGTTATACTGGCCTGCAGGCGGGCTCTGACGGAAAAGAGAAAGCATTGGTATCTCCAGAGTACAGGAGGCAATTTTTAGTGTTAAAACAGAGCAGCTTAGAAGGGTAGGGGAATGCTTTTTAACACAGCTTAGGAAACAGGCTTATTTTCGCCCCTGAATTTAGCTTATGTTGGCTTTGCTTCGGTTCACTGTTTCCTACCCCCCTGCAGCTCAGCAGTTTGTAGCATGGGCTTCCTTTGCTAAACCAGTTGCATATCAGAGCATTTACTCCAATAGTAGTTAGAACCTGCTTCCTCTTTCAGAAGTGTCATATAAGCATTCACTCTGATTTCACAGAACCCTTAGATTTCGAAGGGACCATTAAAGGCCATCTAGCCCAGCTCCCCCACAACAAACAGGGACATCCACAGTTAGATCACATTGTCCAGGATAGTTTCTAAATAGTTACTGTGCAAGTCTCCAAGATTATAGTTTTTGACTGCTCCTTTTGGACAACATAAGTCCATGCCAGCTTCTCTATTTCTTTTAAATAGAACAGCATTTAAAATATCTGGCTGCGTTACCCAGGGAGACTCGCTAAGCAGGGCTTTGGGATACACCAAGGCTTCAGACCAGCATGTCAGAAAAAAACCATCTCAAATCTTAAACCTCAATTTTCCTTGTATGTTGCAATACAAAAGATTAGAAACAAAACTCTTTAGTTTAGTTAATATGAGGATAATAAAACATTGAAAGGAGGCTTGCTAGAAAAAAGTCTTGATGGGCATCTTGTTTTGAAAAGCTTGCAAAATTTGTGCTTTTAGTTTTCAGAGAGATTATTTAAAGCTTGATTTATTCATCTTTAGATACTAAAATGACACTGTGTGCTTGATTTTCGCTGATACTGTTGTATGGCAAAATTAAGCGATGACAATGCCTTCAAATGAGGTGCATGTACGATGGAAGGATAGCAGGTAATAAAAAAGGAAAATTGACTCACCCCTTCCAATAAGCAGTTACAGGAGAGTGCAGCCTATCCAGACAGATGCCGCTCCCTCGGCTGCCAACCTTTAAATGAGAGTGAGGAGGGGTGGATCCTGTCTCCACCCCTTCTGATCACTCAGGTGCATTGCTTGCACCTGAGCTCCCTGGGTTAGCCACGTCATCTTACTTGCTGTTCAACCATTGGCACAGTGACCTGGCAAGTCCACTGCATTGCTAAAGATGAAGTTAATAAAATAAAGTTCCTACTAAGAGTCAGTATAAGAATGTCATTAGCAGAAAATGTTGCTACAGGCTCTGCACTTTCTATAGATCCAGGAATGGATGTTGGCTTACAGTAATTGCCAGATAGATATGATCAAGGAAATGAACACATTTCAATTTCTAATTGGAGTCCAGTGGTGTTTTTTTAATTTGTGTGCTTCAGCTGTTAAACACTAACTTCTTTCTAGGAATGTGAATGCTGTTGCTAATTGCTTCTGAAAGTGAAATCAAACACCTCCAAATCAATATATACCAGCTTCTGGAAGAATCGATATCCTGTCCAAATTGTTAAGATTTTCTATTGACTGTTCAGGCTCTCAACTGTTCCCATCTGTAATAGTTTATAGATCCTGCTAAGCTTGATGGAACAGAGTAGATGCTATCAAGAGCAGCTTCCTTTGTATAATCTTTTTGGATGTTGGAAACAAGAGTACTTGTGACCTTGGAGGCAAAGAAGAAGAGCAACAAGAAGAGCTTAGCTACTAATAACAGTGAAATGTCAAGTGGTATACTCATTTAACTCTTGCCTTGCCCTCTGGATCCAAGAGACATTAGAGGACTTGCTGCTTTTACTTTTGCGTTCTTTTTAAGACTTGATTCAAGTCTTCAAGTAATTTTCTACACAAGGGCTTTGAAGATGTCTGTTCTTTGGTGCTAGTGACACTATACTTTTTAAAGCACTTTTTCTGCTATCACTCTCCTGCTTTGTTGGCTAGCCACATTCTTGCCTCTGTTTTAGTGCAGGATGCCCAACTCCTGCAAGATCTCTTTCTCAGCTTTTCAGCAACTCACTGCTAAACCAACCGTGTCCAGATACGTGTTATTAATCTCATCTCAGCATTATTAGGATTGACCTCATATGGCTACCAACAGAACAAGTCTTGCAAATATAGCTTGAAGAAATTATTTAGTAAGTCTTCAGAGTGAGTGGCAGAGAAGTTAGTTCTTTGAGTCACACAGAAAAATTTGTTTTGTTTTAATTTAGAGCAAGGGGTTACATTTGACAAAACTTCAGACAGTTATGGGAAAGCTAACATTTGTCCTTCCCCATTAGGATCTCAGTATTGTGAGAAGCAGCCAGATATATGTCTTGAGCAACTGATTTATTATACACTAAAGAAAATCCCATTGTGATCCTAGGACATCTAGAATTAGCAGCACATTACTTCCCTCAATTTCCTCTGCTCCACTTCCACTAATGACGAGTATTCTCTTTCTTTTTTCATCTTACCCACTTGTTGGATCTGGAAAACCAGTGAAACTCATGAATGGGGAAGGGCTAAAAAACAGTCTCTGTCTATCTTTGAATTTTTTTGGTAAAATCTTCCTCATGACAGAACTAAGTTGTGACAGATAAATAGCACTGAATTGAACTGTTCTCTGTTAATTCTCAATACATATATTTGGAGCAAACTATTGAAGTTTTTTCAGTTCTCTTTGTATCACCAACTTGGTGAATTCATTAAAGTTCTTGCTTGTTGTGATAAAGGTACATAGATATAAGCACTTGGCTATATTTTTTTCCGTTCCTTATTTAATCTATGCCTTGTTAATTGAATTAGGCGTGATCAGTGGTATGTCTTATGTGCTATAGAAAAGGCAAGGCTGTGCTATTCTGGGCAGCAGGCATTGATCACAATTTCAGCTGCAAAACCTTGTATTTCTTTAGGAATTCTTTAAAAGAAAAGCTGCAAGGATCCCACCAGCTTTCCCTGGGGTACATCTAAGAATCTCTTAAAGTACTCTGCTGTATTGCTGCCAGCCTAAGGTATTATTAAACAGAGCTGCATTAATAAGTCTTAATCTATAGAGCAGAAGATGAGACAAAGAATTGATGTTTCTTAGACAAGAAAACTGAATTTCTCTTAAACAGTTATGTTCTTCTGTTTGCAGAGACTTGAACCCTTATATTTCTGGGACAAGAAAAACTTGATACTGGGAGAAACACTATGAGATTTCTCTGTGTTTCACTTTCTTTAACTGTGATTTGCTGGCTAGCTGAAGGCACCTTGTCGAAAACAGACGCGAAGAAACCTGCTACAAAAAAACTGGAAGAAAAGGTAAGCTAAATAATTGAAATAATCGTCTTATTTAACATGTGCAGTGATATAACTTAACTTTGAGAAATGGTAAGGGTATTCTCATTCTTTTAAAAAAAAAAAAGTGTTGAAATCGACATTTCCAAGCTTGTTCTCAAATTAAACTATGTGAAATTGTCCTTTCATTCATCTTTTCTGAGTGTCACAAATGATTCACTCCTTTAACCAACACAGGGTAGACTTCTGGAGTTTTCAGCTCCAGTGGAAGCTGCATAAGATTGCTATAGAAGCAAGAAACTTTTTGTCCCCTTCTGCATGTAAAGAAAGCATACCTCCATCCCTATGTTGGGAGTTGAAGGAGCAGTAGTGTTGACCAAGGTCATTTAGAGATGGGGGAGATGTTCTCAGCACTGCCAGTGGGACAGCTGTGTTCTGAAAGAAGAGCGTGAAGAGCTTGCAAGCCAGTATTTTCTTTGAAGGCAAAAGTTATTCAGAGTCCCATAGCAATTTTGAGAAGACGATTCAACGTGCTGAAGTCTCTCTTAACTCGCTGAGCATGTTCTTGTTTTCTTCCTGTTTTCTTTCAAAATCATAAGGATGCTCAGCAGTGCAGGAGAAAGGGTATGCATGGAAGTATATTTACCGGTGCATATACCAAATACATGTACTTCATGTTGCAAAGCACTCTTTAAAAAAAAAAAAAAAGAAAAAAGACAGGTGATCTATTCAAAATCCTGTCCCTCAAATTATAGGTAATCCTTCATTATGCAGATGTGTTTGTCATTGTCTATATTGCTTGCTCAGTGTCTACCAGGAAGAAAATCTACTATGCTGCTATAACTACTAGGTGCAAAGGCAGTACAGAATGTTGAAGCCTGCCTTACCCTGTTTCTGTGTGCTCACTGTGCACACTTTCTTAGTGTGTGGGCTTTATTAGCCTTCTGACTTGTTGCTAAGTCTACCTGTGCTGTTTTAATTCAAGAAGATCTTCTATAAGAAGGGTGTTTGGAACTTCAGCTGTGACCACAGTGCAGTATACTTAACCTGAAATACGTCCAGTTTAAAAGTCTTCTTTGAAATCTTGGTTAAGACTTCTTCAACAACTTTTGTTGGTTTGACAGTAGCCAGAAAGCATGGACTAGAGTGCAGAAGAAAACAAAAAGGCATTATTTTGAACAGATCTTGACAACTAGTACGAAGGCTGTTGTCAAGTACTGTAGAATTTGTAGCAACTGAGATTAAGTGGCTGTGTTTAGCAGAACATGCAGGTCAGCAGTTTAAAACTTCTTGCAAAATTGCTCTTTATGTTATGAACACACCAGTCATCAGGTGTGCTGAATGACGTTTTTTAATCTTATCACTTGATTTTTTTTCCTTTTCCTTATAATCAAAGTAAGATTACTGGTGATGACAAATCATTTCCCAGCTCTTTCTTACTTTCTTTTTAAATCAAACTATTTTGCATTATTTAAAAGAGTACTCGGAGTTTAATGTTGTTGTTTTCTTTTTGAGGCCTGTTGCTTTTGAAAATGGCTGCTTATAAAAACTGTTGTCTTCCCCCAGACACTGCATTCTGATAAGAATGTGCAGGACCGGGGACTCGTAGTTACAGATCCAAAGGCAAAGGACATCATATTGGAGCACAGAAGCTACTGCTCTAAGAAGATGAAAGAAAGACACTTCTCAGGAGATGTTCTGGGATATATTACTCCTGTGAGTTAATAAATCAAATAAAATTGGTGCTTTGAACGAACGTGCAGTGGTCTGTACTAATCTTGCCTCTTGCATCCTTGCTATAAAAATATTTTGGTAGTATTTGGAACTTCTAGTCTGCAGTCAGATATTCAGAGGATTATTCAAGAGCTGCCTTGAGATTCAGGTGGTCTCAAACTCATGTTCTCCTACCCATCTCTTGTAGGATATCTAGGTCATACTGTTTTTCTCACCAGTAAAACAGTTGTTTGGGGTTTTTTTTGTTCTTGAATGAGCCAAGTAAAGTTGCAGTATTTTCAGATGAGGAATACTACTAAGTATCCTTATATTATGCAGCTACCAACTTGAACCTTCTAAGTAAATAGTAAAAATTTTATCCTGCTGTCAAGCTGTTATCTTGTTATTCAGTCTTACTGTTCAAAGCTTCTTCTCTTGAATAATAAATGTTACTTCCTTTTGTTTAGAGAATGCCTCTTGTTTTGTTTTTTTGCACTGCTTAGAACAGAAATAGGTTCCCTATGAACTTCCATCTTTCTCAAGTTCTGTTGAACATAAGTGCAGACTTGTACAGTCAAATCTCTGTTGAATCTAAATGCTAATTCCTCCAGTTTAGTTGAATTTGCATAAACTGAACATTGGCATTCATGTAGCTATGAAAGTGTTATAAATGCTTTATTACTTAAGCAAAAATAAAGCTACAGAAGGTTTTCTGAAACTGGCAGAGATTTAGCAAGTGATTACATTCGTGGTAAAGAGTTTTTATTGATCAAAATCAAAGTGGTCTGTATGTCTTGCTTGTCATCTCTCACTTTTCTTTCTTTCCTTTCTTTTGCAAGTGGAACAGCCACGGCTATGACATTGCTAAAATATTTGGAAATAAATTTACATTAATCTCACCAGTCTGGTTACAAGTGAGAAGGAGAGGGAAGGAGAGGTTCCAGTTCACCGGGCTCCACGATGTAGATAAAGGTTTGATTTCCTTTTTATTTGAGTATGGATTACAAATAGGATCACTGTTCTTTTTGCAAACTGGTGCGTAGTTAATACACGCATGTGCATTTTTCACACTGCCTCTCACTGTGAAGTAATTTCATCCACTAGTTTTAGAAAGATTTTTACACAATGAACTTTTCTGTTCTCATTTGCTTCCACAAATACACGTAGTTTCTGTCCAGATAATAAGTAGAAAGACAGCAGGCTATCTACAAAGCCCCCTTTAAAAAAGGAAAAGACAAAGAATCTTTACAGATAGAAAAAGTCCTTTGTGTTTGCACTGTGCAGTTATTTATCTGTTTTTATTCCTTCTGCCCTTGCAAAAAAAACCCCATACAAATAAACTTAGAACGCCTGTGAGTGAGTTTGTTCTGGGAGTGAAATATGAATTTAATCTGAAGAGAATTTTCTCCACTGTCAAAGAACTTGCAGCAGATTCAGAATTTATATAGTATGCTCTTACTAAATAATTAGTTTGGTTTTGAACTTGATTGAAACATGTCTATAAAATGCCATTTTAAAGAGCTCTAAAGATTGTTTTTACCATGTTAGTGCCTACTAACAAGTTAATTCTAATGCAGTGACTACCGGGAGGGAGTGGATGGGACACTAGGAAATACCAACTGAATTTAAAAAAAGCAACCAGACTTAAAAACCCAGCTAACTTAAAAAAGAAATGAAAATTCATATTCTTCCCAGGACTACACAACTGCTGTGGTCAGTAAGCAGTGAGATGTTTTCCATGATGAAACAACAATAAGCAACAAGGAGAAGGGGCTGAGAAGGACTCTTACAAGATTGTTGTAAATGTGAGTTATGCTGTGGTGGAGGTGAATAGCTTCAATTTTTGTGTCTCAGAGGCTGCTTCCTCTGCATTGCTTATGAGCCAGTAGTCTGCAGCAGGAAGACTGGTATAATTAAACTTTGCTACATTAGATGAAGAGTGCTTCAAAATATGTTGTCCTTGTCAATACATTTATGTTTTAAGAGCTGTTTTCTTGGTAATGTTTGACAGGCTGGATGAAAGATGTCAGAAAAAATTCCAAAAACATCAAAATAGGTGAGCCTATATTTTATGTGTTGTTTTTGTCAATTTTCTTTTGCTGCTAGCAGAGCAAGAGACAACTGTGTTCCATGTGTATTGGAGAGAAGGGAGATTAGCATAGCCCTATGAAATGAGGTGTCTGAAAAGAAAATTATAAGCAGTTAAACTACAGATAAGTAAGCAACTGAAGTGTAGATTCTGTTGGTGCCTGAATGTTATACCTTGGTGTGTTTTCTCTTAAATCCATGGCCACTGGGTCCTCTTTGGAAGGGTACTCTGCATTTAACATGATGTGCTTACCTGGGGAGTAATCTTGAAACTTGTTGCTCGGGGATTCCACTCTTTTTATAAAGGAGAAAAGGAATCCAAATCTGAGCCGGTTGTCAGTCTTTTCCTGCGCTGCTTGCTTCTGCCCTTGAAGCAGAGACCTCAAGGGATCTGCCACAATGTGTCTGTAGGGAAAAATGGCAAACATTGCTACAGTGATAAAACTGTGCTAAACTTCTTAGTTTTGTCTGGAGCAAGAATGAGTTGAGGCCGTGAAACTAGTAAAACTCTTCTTGCTTCACAAGGTTGTATGAAACATGAAACAGGTAGAAAAATTGAAAGCTCAGTGAGCTATTCTAAATTACTTCAGCTGCCAGGTGGTAAAATCCCTGCAATCTCTCTTGACTCTTCTAAAAGCCTTGATAGTTAAAAAAGGCTTAGACATAGTTTTGTATGGCATTTCCACCACACATGATTTTCAGCTGTTCCCGCAGCAGTTTTCATCACTCTTGTCTGACTACATTTTTAACGTCTTAAATGTGTTGTTGGTGGAGGGGGAAAAAAGGGGTGAGAAGTACCTTCAAGCACTGATTTTTTTTCCAAAATTAGGATTTGTCATAGGCTCTTGAAAGGAGCAAAAAGCTGAATATGGGGCTAAATTAGACTAAATTAGAGCTTGAGGTGAACTTTTCTACCTTGCTATTCACATGTTAGAAGAGAGGCACAACTTACAGAAGGATTGCTGTTTCATTTTGGTGTTCTTTTAAGACCTTCCTAAGTGGAACTTCAGTTGTCAGTTGAATGCATCTTTTCTTAAAACTGGCATCAGTTAACTATTAATTAATGTTCGAGTTACCATAAAACAAAGAAGAATGTTCTATGGTGTCAACTTTTCTGTGCTGATAAAGTTAGAGTAAAAAAACAGAACAGTCCAAGCAATGAGATATATTTTTTGGTGATTTATCTGCTGGTATGTTCTGTAGAATAATATTTCTGTTTTTGCAGAAATGTTGCAATGTAGATAGTAATTTGGTAAATTTTCCTTACTGATTGACTTCTTTGCTTGATAGTGCCTAGAATTTTGTTTGATGGCTGGACTTACCAGGACTTTGAGAGTGTTTTTGGCAGTGAAGATGAGATAGAAGAGCTTTCACAGAGTATGGTTCTACTAGCCAAGGTAAAAGACTTCAACAGTGCTTTTGAAACAGTGTGACATGGTTTCTGGTTCCTTTTATAAAATATATTTTCTCATTTCCAGTTTTCATCCTTCAAAATAAAGTTCTGTTCGAAATATGAATGAGGCACAAATCCTAGCTGTATATTCTAGAATGTGTCCAATTCCTATATGTATGAAATACAGCAATAAGTAAGTACAGTTAACTGAAAGCCTGAAGTGAAATTACTTAAGTCTGATTATCCTAAACCTGTTATCATTGACAGTTGCACACTTCCACCTGTTGTAAACTCTAGTTGATAAAACCCATTCCAGCCAGCTGATGTGCAGAATAATATCAAAGCAGTAATGGAGAGTTAATAAACTTCTCATGAAGGTCACCTAGTGAGCAGAGTGATTTCTTTAATTACTTAAAAAAAGAAAACAAAAAAACCAACAACAAAACAGCCAGAAACAGTTATTACAGTTATTATGTTGGGTTTTTTTGAGGGGCTGCAAAACAATCTTGGGTACAATGAGTGCTGTTTTCTGTATTACACAAATATGTTCAGGCTTCACTGTACTAGACATAATGAGTCACTTTTAATATGAAGAATAGCTTGCCAGATATCATTTACTGCATAATTTTGTTCAGGCCTGACAAAACAGTTAAGAGTCCAGGGAGAGAAAAAGAGGGTTTCCTTTAAGGAACAGTTACTGTTTACTAAGACTTCCTTTGGATCCCCTCAGCTTAATGCTTTGGAACAATGCTTCTAGGACTGGACAGACTGCACCCTAGAGACATTCAACTTAGTGGCTGTTTTGTGAAAACCTGCCTAATTACTGTCAGAGTAAGAATACTCTCCCTTGCTGTAAGACGTAAATAAATCTTCTGCATTCTAGAGGAAAATGGATGAAGAGGTGAACTGAATACTTTCTTAAAATTTATAACTGCCGCATCAATTTTAGGTCCTCTGTAACAATTAACCTCTTAAGGAATGGGTGCTCAAGTCTGGCGATATCCTTGATCACAGTAAACAAGCTTCCATAAGAAAGATTAATTTTGGAGATGTTTAGAATAATGACTTTTCCAGTTTAGTATTTACATGTTTAGAGTCAATGGCTCATGACTTTTTTTCCCAATATACATGTAAATGTGTTTCAATTGATTTGCTTAACAACCATATTTCATTAATGGCTGCATTTTTCCCAATGGTTTATCCTGTGAGAGTAAAAGTCAGTCATGCATAACTAATAGAGGTTTTCTACTTTTGAATTTTAGTTATACAATTTGTGCTTCACTTTGACTTCTTCATGAAATGATGCATTTGAGATGAAATTGCTGTAAGAATATGAAGCATGCTCGATCTGTAATACTGCTAGAACAGCTGAACTGATTGTGTGCTTCAATATTGCATTATCTCTGCAAGCATAATGAATAAGCGTGGTGATGAAGTGTATATTGTTGTCAATTTCTTTTTTTAGAATGAAAATTTTGATGGCTTTGTAGTTGAAGTTTGGAGTCAGCTAGGAAATCAAAAGCAAAAGTAAGTATAAGTCTTTAGGATACAATTATAAGAATTGCCTCTTTTACAGTATCTTCTGAAAGTTTAATTAGTCCACGTTGACTTGAATTTGTCATTTTCTGTAAATAAATACACTTAACTCTTGTTCCACTTGTCTTAAAACTGTTCTACGTGAACTCAAAGGCTACGTATTAATATTCATTTGCAATGCGTGGAATTAGCAGACCACATCAACTTTTTAAATTTCAGTTGTGCAAGATGTTACTGTTGAACAAGGATGAAGAGAGTACCTCAACTGTATGTGTGCTCAGGTGCTGGCATTGGCCTTTATGGTCACACTGACTGATATGTGTTACTGGATAAATAGCACTGACTTTGAGTTAATTAGGAAATCTTCCTGGATTTTATATTAAGGTCTTTTGAATGTGCTGAAATTAGAATGAAAATCCCCAACCTGAAGCAAACCTATGGAGAAACTGGCTTTCAGTTTTTGCAGGCACAACAGTTTTAGAACTTTAGAGTAGCTGATCTACATGTTCAACGTCTTTTAGTTATTGCTAAACAGGAATAGGAAGAGAAGGTGATTCTCAAGGAGCAGAACGGTGAGTGCCTCATGTGTTCTGAGTCAGTAATGTTTGATTAGACATGGCTGCAAACAAGCAAGACTTCAAAATTGTCCTAACCAGAAGTCTGAAAGTGTATGTTTGGCAGAAAAACCTGAGTATAAATAAAGGTTATAAACTATTTCTTTTTTTGTCTCTTCAACACCAGTTTTGATTTAAGTGCTTAGCTGTAAACCCACTCGTGTGTTTACCCACCACTGCCCTAGATGTGGTTGAGGTGATTAAGTTGCAGAATGTCTTTGAGAAGCCAAGCAGTGACAAGCATTCTGAATAAATGCTTTTACTTTCAGCCTTTGAATAGCAGAGTAGAATTAGTCCTGATAAATCAGTAAGCATGGGCTACCCACACTTTGCTTTGCTCATCCCTGCTAGGAAGGGGTAGAGCCATGACATCTTCAGCCCACAGAGTGGCAGTATTGCAACATGATTCATACATGATCCGTGTCTGCTTTTCCAAAGCGATAAACATCAGTATAAAGCATATTCTTAACAGTAGAAGAGCTGGGGACAATTGATGGGAACGTATCAACACAGAAATGACCCTTTAACCTTCAGACATGTAAAGCCTTAATAGAATAGAAATTATTTGTGCTCCATATGAGGTACTGATATTAACTGTTAGGTAGATAGTGTAGGCTTTCCTGATTCAGATCAGTATTTCTATGAAATACCTTTTTTATTTCTTTTTTTTTTTTTTCCTTTTCCTTTTACTAGCTGAACCTGAACTTTAGTGGAATTCAAGAAGCCTGATAACATCCTTACATCATTTGCTCTACCCATTGCATCTTTATATAAGTAGGTAACAGTAACAGTGCTAGCACTGCACAAGGATTCTGAAGCCTGCAAGGTCTCTCACCAGCATCACTGAGAACCTGTAATCACTGAGGATTTTTAAGAACAAGCAAATTTATCTACTTTCCTTTCAGCTCTTTGCATGTTTCTAGAAAGATCTTGCTTTTTTTTCGGTTTTCACTCCAACATCAGAAACAGATAAGATTTCCTCCTGCAAGGAATAAATAGTTGCATAAGAAGAACTTTCAGTTTCCTGTTTATCCTAGCTGGTACTCCAGAAGAAGTGAAATAGTGTGGTCTGAGGCCCACTGTATCTTCTGTTTACATATTCTTAAGCAGAGCTAGCTTAATCCTTGTTTGTTTTCAAGACTAAGAATATTGTAATTGTAATGATTCTTATTTAGGGTTAGGATTGCTTTTTTTCCTGCTCCATAATGCTCAGCAGAAGTGAAGTCTTAAATTATACCAGTCCTTCATGCTGTTTTCTTTTATATAACACTTATTTGTTAACTTACTGTGTAAATTTTGCGGAAGAGAAAGAATTATGTGCCTAAATGTGGCTGCCTGGCTTTATGTTAAAAAATGTAATCAACTTAATTTATGGCTGTTTGCTTTGGGTATGAGGGCCCTGGATGCCTTGAAACTTAGCCAACAATTCTGCATACATGCTTTGTATACTCCTGGGTGTAAATAAATGGCATTAGATTCTTATATTCAGGTGCTGAAATACCATCTATTCTATCTGAAGAACTTGAATTGTATTGAGATGTGTGTGGACCTACGCTGCAGGAGCCTAACACTGATCAGTTCAGGCTCATGTAGAAGTCCAGTACAGATGCTTTGAGATACCCTCTGTAGGTACCTACTTCTTTTCTGTGGTTTGCAAGAATAGAAGCTCCTGATTACTGATATAAGACAAATTTGTGAGATAAATGACTGAATCTAACTGATGCTCTTTTCTCTCATGCTGACAATTATTGCATAATGAAAAAGTACTCAGCTTCATGTCTTTGATTCTAACACATAGGAAATGAGTTTCTAAACAAAAACTTAAATCAGCTGAAATTTCTTGTGCAAATAATACCTCAATTCTAATACATTTTACTGTCCCTTACAGTTCAAACCCGCTTCTTAATTAATTTATTTTTTTAAATCTAAAAGTTCATTGATTGATTTTACAACAGAATATTCCAAGTTATTTAAACCGTGGCATTTCAAGTTAGAAATGCATGTGGTGGAAATTGTGAACTAAACAGGAAAACTTCCGCTTTCTCAGTTTAATTATAACAGCCAGACAGGACAATGTCTCTTTTGCTAATATTATGCATGGATTTATTTTTATTTTTTTCCCCAGACACCTGTGGGCACATTCATGCCTTTTTCACCAGAATCTGATAGTGTATGTGAAGGTGTACATGTTATTCTGCTTTGTCTGGCATTAGCTGACAGATGGCACTGCCATCACAGAGGATCAATCTGAAAAACACAATTTTTTTTTCACCCACCGCATGCTGCAGGCACTTGGCATCATGCAGAAGATGACCTTCAGACATCTTATTAATGTTGGTAGGAGTATAGGAGCAAAAACCTCTTCTGGCACTTCTATCCTTCATGTTAGTCCCTGAAAAATTAATCTATTAATCAAAGATTTGCCATAATTCACTCCAGTTTTCTGGTATTAACTAGGCAATGAAATGGCACAAAAGAGCAATTTCTTCTTGAAGTAGACAGCTTTATTCTGTCCAATTTTCTTGACAAGGCATAAATTTCAGGGAGCACTGACTATTAACTTACAAAAGAAAGTGGCAGAAGTTGGAAAGTTAGAGAGTTCTGAAGGGTCACGTAACTGAAGACAAGAATGTAGCAGTATCTTCTGCAGTGCCTTTCAGACAGCCTGACAGCCCACTTTTATGCACTGAAGTGAACTGTTACAAGATGTCCCAAACACAATGGACTGACAGTGTTGGAAAAAGTGAGTTCTGAAAAAATAACTCTTTCTCAGACCTTGGATGAAGGAAATTTGCATACTTTGTAAGGGAAAAAATACTTTGAAATTGGGAACATAAAAAAAACCAAAAAACAAAAAACAAAAAACAAAGCAACCAACCTTCCAAAAAGCAGTGATAATAGAAGGCCTAATAGCATAGGATTGAAGTAGATCTTAATTAGCTCATGATGGTCTTAAAGCTGCCAGTGTCTTAGTTACTACTACGAAGTAAAATTTGACAAGGGTGAAGTCTCCGGTAAATATTTAATGTGGACTTTTCAGAAAGAGTGATTCTATTCCTAATTACCCATACCTCATTATAATTTTTAAAATGTCAACAGTCCTCACAAAATTACCAGTGACAATGTGGGAAAAGATTGTGGTAGCACACTGGAAAGCACTGTTAGGGCACAGCAAAGTTTTAATTTGTAGCACACAATCAATGAGCATTCTGTTATTGCTGTTTAGGGGAGGAGGCAAGAGTGCACATTTGGTCTATATAATCTATCTTGGCTGACAAATAGAAGTTAACCAAAATGAAGTCTTCAGCCATAACCATTGATCCTATTTGATCTGCAGTAGAGATCTCAGGGCTGAGACCTGGCTTGACAGGTTAGTGAGTAGATGTTCACCTAGGTTTCTTGAGTAATAATCTGCAGTTATCCTGATACCCTTTCACTCCCTGACCTGGCCCAAGTTGAAGCTAATTTTTTTTTTTTCCTGGCCAAGGCTATATTGTTTAGATTTGTTTGGGGGAGAGGAAGTGGGAGCTATTTGGATAGGGTTAGTTTTTTAGTTTATTGTGCTTTGTGCTTTCTACAAAATAAAACAGCAGTTCAAACTTTCCATTGATCCTATATCAGGCCACAAATCTCTGTCCTTCATTGCAGTTGCAGGATTTCTATATGACAGGGTATGCCTTTCCAATTTAGTCAGAAAATATTTTGTGCAGTTCAGAGGTCGTGCAAGTTAACAGAGGCATTCAGAAAGAGAATTGAGATCCTGCTGATGAAGTGATGGCACAGGATAATCTCAATACCAGAGGAACTGATTTCAATCAAGTTTATTTTGTAAGTAGCTTCTCTGACATCTAATAAAGGGTACATTCATACTACTTCAAGTATAACTAGTTAAAAGGTCACTTAGCCATGAGACAAAAATCTGTAGGAAAAAGGGCTTAGCTAGTTTTAACACTGATTATAGTTTTCAGTAAGACTGCAGTAAGACTGTCATGTGGGGGTTGTGATACATATGGTGGGAGTCAAGAAGAGTCTGTTTAGTTTAGCATTGTAATTTTTTTAATGCTTTCTCTGGAAAAGAATTCCTCCATGCTTAATTGGTTTGTCTGAATAGTGACACTCTTAATACAGAATGCATATTGTGAAGAATGGAATGTAAAGCTGCTACTTCTCAGTAGAAGAATGCTGCAGGTAGACTAAGCGCTGATTCCTATAACTTTGTGCCTCCACTGCATGGGAGTTGTTTGGCACAGCCAACTCTCAGATTGTAACTGCAAAATACTGATTATATTGGGAAAGTGATAAAACTTTTTGTTGTTAGAATCCAAGAGAAATGGGTTTTTGTAGGATTTCATCTGGCATTAAGTTGTTTCTTAAACTGTTTCAGTGCAAGTAAAACTTCTTAATTATTCTGAATAGCATCTATACTGTGCAAGTCAAGCATCTTTACCGTGATAGATGATTAAATGGAAGATCAGTGATTTTAGAACAATATCTCTGGGATGATAATACCTTGATGGGGACTGCAGTACTGGAAGTAGTCTGTGAAAGTTCTGGTCTAATCCAGTTTGATAAATAAGTGGAGCAAACAACTTAGATGACCTCCAGTGTATAGCCTGCTCTAATACTTGCCACCTGCTGGAATGGGTTGTGAAGTTGCTTTTTACTCAGTTCAAGTTTAAGCATAGCTCTAAACAGGTCTAGAACTCACTGCAGATATCCTTCTGTCTGCATTCTTGGATCTCTGCTGGCAGGTAATTATAGAAGTCAGTGTTTTGAGGAATGAAATGACTTGGAAGCACACAGGATGGCCTTATTTATGGCATGAATTGAATGTCTCATTGGACTCCTTAGATAAAAGTAACTTAAATTTTCTTATTTTCCTAGTCTCTTTTGAAGGATTTGCTATTTACATCACCTTTTGAAAGAAAGATCTCAAAATAGATTATGTGAAGAAAAATTTTGAGCTTATTTTCCTATTGAAATTAGGATGTGGAGATCAACTTTTGAGAAAAATCTTTAATGCATATAGGAGATGATAATTCCAGAAATGGCATTTCCAGGCATTTATTTTGTGGCTATACAGTAAAGTGTTGGGAAACAAATCTATTAAAAAAACACTTGAAACAGCAACAGAAATGTTTCTAAAAGCAGGCCTCATAAATACACCTTGAAGATTGCACATCTTGCTGTGAAAACCTCTATGAATTCTCAGACTTTTCTGTAATAGCACGGAGTTAACTCGAACCTATGCAACAATTGCTTGTTTCAGAACAGTATTTGGTTCTTCCATTGATTCATCCTTTTTATTGAATAGGACTCTAAGGAGTAGCCTGCTCTGATAGCATATATCATATTTACATGCTAACAATGAATAATCGTATTAAAATAAAACATTTTATCCCTAACGTGATCACTGGCTACAATAAAATTAAGACTACCTCCAGCAGTTCAGTGTTTTTAATCTCATAAGGAGGTAAGTCTTTGATTCATCTTTGGTTTTTTTTTTTTTTTTTTTTTTTTAAATGCTAAAATCATCCACTAGAAATTGCATTTGGATCTCTTGACTGCTGCATCTTTTCAAGTATTTCTACTGTTACTGGTAATCGTGCTTTTGTCAACCAGTAAGACTAGTTTTCTGTCTGTCCCTATAACAGCATGTTTATATTTCAGGGAGTTGATACACTTGCTCATTCACCTTTCTGAAGCTCTGCATGAAGCACAACTAAAACTCATACTAGTCATACCTCCGGCAGTTGCAGCAGGGTAAGTATTCCTATGCAGGCAGCATGTTGCAGACAAGAAATACTTTGTTATTTGATACACTGTAAAATTGAAAGCTTTATTTGTAGCTGTGCTACTTAAATGAGTAAGAAATTCTTTGAGTTTGATTGCTTGATTCATGTTGCACTGAATAGTCTTAGTACTATATGTGAGCATAAATACATCATAACTTTTGAAATCAAAGTAAGTTGCAGGGGGACTTCCTGCTATGGTGTTAACCCCATAATGTCTAGTGAAAACTTCCAGGAGAACAAGAGCAAAGCAGTTGTGGAGTTTAATAACTTGTTGCCAAGGAGTGAAAAGAATTGTCACAAAAATAGCACATAAAAAAAGCTTTCTGAGCCCCTGGGCATAATTTCACCTATGATAGATAATGCTCGTCTTTAATCAAGTAAGATTGGACTCTTCTTCTATAATAGGGTTGTCTTTTCTAAAATTATTTGGTTTGACTTAGTTGTTCACTTGTACAGAAAATGATTTTAGCAATTCTAAATATTATCTTCTTAGTAATTATTGTGTTTATTTGTGCAGTGATTTGTATCCAATAGGTGTGCCAGTGGATATGGATGTGCTCTTCGGTGCACTAGCAGTATTCAGTTCATATCTTTCAGTGTTTATAGCAGAGAGATTTACTTTCTATGTTTAGATTTGTTGGCAGGCAAAAAAGCAAGAAAAACCAAGAACAACGAAATCAAAACATACCTGGAAAATGAGAATTTCAATATATGCAAAAAGAATTTGAATCCTCTTTATATTTTTACACTTTTAAGAAAAGATACTACATTGTCTTCAAGACACATATAGTAAAGCTGTGATTTTTTTTTCTCTAGTTTGTACATCTCTAGTACTACTATTTCTGGGAAGCCATTGGAAATGCATATTTCTGTGTTTTAGGAGATTTACATCTCACCCTTCCAGGTTTCACGTAATCGATCAGTGATTATATCCATGTAAGAGTAAGCAGATAGAACTGAAGCCATGTAGGTGGAAGGTGATTCATGATGTCAGCAGAGCGACAGAACTGCAGTGCTGTCATTTCAAACTGAAATGTAGGCTATGCTAATGTCACAAAGCTTTTTCAGCAGGAGGTTTGCCTGCTATGAACAGAACTACTTGGTAACATTTGTTCATTTTTTGATACTTTTTCATGTCAAAAAATGCATGGCATCCTTGCATTGTGAGCGTAGTTATATGCTGCCCTACTATGTAGAAGTACTTATGGTATGCAATAGCATTACAAGGACATATTGCAAGGAAAGCATTATCTCATAGATAACTGTGACAATATGGGTACTGTACTCCAATATCTCTTTCCTTGTTCCTCAAATTATGGGTCCCTGTAATTAGAGTCTCTGTTATACCATAGATAAGCCAAGTGTAGAAGTGTACATTGCAGTCTCTCAACTCTGAATAAGGAGTACCAAATCCCTGCTAGTTGTTTAAGATGGGCCTTTTCATTGTTTAAGGTGAGGTTTTTGTCATATACTGCAGGGTGACAAAGCAAGACCCATTGTAGAGTCTTGCATACACAGAAAGTGGTTCAGAGTGCTACAAATGGTTCTGCTAACTGTAGAATAGGCATCAGATAAGACACATACAATGATTCTACGTCACTTTTGTTCTCTATCTCTGAATTTTACCTGATGGAATGCTATCTCCTTGTGGTTGTGCAATTCTTTTTGGCTTACTGGGCTTGACTTGCTGATAATGGTAACTGGGAAAGGCTGATAATATTTGCATAGTCAGCAGTAAGAGATTTTTCTTCCCACATTTCCTTTTTTCTTCAACCAGCAGCCTTGCATCTGCGCATGAAAGTCCAGTAAGGTGAGTTAGTCTTACATGGAGAGCTATTGTTAGGCAATTTTAGGTGAGTTATGAGGCCACAAAAAAATACTGATCACATCTGATTTCTCTTACTGTGAACCATGTAATTTCATGAACAGGCTCACAGTCATACTGCTTTACAACAGCACAGTTTTGGGGGGGGAGTTTTTGGACAAGTTACTAAATTTCTTGTAGACTGCCTTAATCTTTTTGAGTGTTTACTTTCAAGTTGCCAAAAAGGCTGACAAAAATGGAATGCCTGAACAAGCTTGTAAATGCCTTGGGTATTCTGCAGCTGGCCTTTTCTCTGCAATGATCTCAGGAAGTGTTTTATTGAGTTTTGTGGGGAAGTCCCCCAGCACTAAGGGGGAACTAAACACTTCTGCCTACCAGGATCTGTGCAGAGCTTAAATGCTGCCTATTGAAAATATTTAGACAATGTGTAGTCAGTGACTAAAAATATCACACTGTTCTGAGAGCCATTCACATTGCCACTATAATTCTGATGACATTTCAGCTGTCAGTTAGTGATATAACCCCCTCTAAACCAAGTCCTGACTATAGGATACATGTTCCTTGCCTACACAGGAAAGCAAGCTCCAATGTGATACCCACCTGTTATTTCATTCTTCAGTAGCTAGATGAAATCTGAGTGCAGTTAATTGAGTTGATTGTCTCAAAGTATGATTGAGGGTTTTTAAAATTATTTAAAATTTTTGAATATTATCTGAAGTTATTTTTTCACTGTTACATGGTACAAATATTTTATACCTTTCAAATAAAGCAGCTGATGTAATGTAAAATCCCTTTCCTTCCACATGCTGCTGCCTACCAGTTTTTCAAGGGCAAAGAGGAATAAATTATCTGTTAATATTATAGCAAAAGCAAACAAGATTAATTCCGTGTGAATTGGTGAAGCAGTCAGTCAAAGCCCTCTGTTTCTACCTCAGTGCTAGCGTTCATGTTGTACTGTGTGAGACAGTCTTCAGAACAATACTGTGTTTCTAGGTCACTGTGGCATTAAGAGAGTAGATTCAAGTCTCTGAAAACACCAGACTCTGTGCACTGTGTATTGCCTCCCCCCCCCCCATGTGGGGTATATGGTTTGCTCCCCATTCTTTTCCATGCTCTGTATTTTCTCCTATCTTTCCTGCTTCAGAATATGCAGCTTATAATTCTGAGGCTGTTTGGTGTGTGGCAACACACAAAACCTTGTCATGCACCAAATCCAACTCAGGCCAAGAAAAGTCCTGAGACCATACTCTAGCTAGATCACTGAAGTATTTATAGGACAACAGTCCTGCATGTGATATTCCTTTTTCTTTGTTGCATCATGTAAGTCTGCAACCTCTTCTAGACAGCACAATAGAATGAGGAGGTGGTAGAAATTATAGCATTTACATAGAACGTTGAGGATATTAGAAAAGGGAGCTTTTGATCAGGATGAGGCATTACATGTTGCAGTTAGATAGAGCTCCTGGGCAGCTGTGTTGTTCCTTATTATCTTAGTTGTTTTTGTGTGGCTTTTGAGAGCTATTTGTGTAGCTAGTAAAATGGGACCCTCAGGAAGGTAGGCTTTCTCTGTCAAGAAAAGGTTGATAGGTCATTCAGGTTGCTTCATAATATAAAAGTTTAGAAGCTTTGTAATCCATTGATGGCTTTACTGTGAAAATGAAAGCTTTTTACTATTGAGAAGGTTCTAGAAACTGAATGACTATCATGGTTATTACCCAATGAAGCGCTGGCACAGGTCTCAGTAAACTGAAGAGCGATACACTTTGTACTGAATCATTACACCACAGTAACAACTTCAGTGCTTCTTTAGAAATAGATGCAGAAACCAAATCATGAAAAACCAATCCCTGCTCACAAGAACTTTTGCAACATTAAGAAACCGTTAATAGTCATTCTTGGGATTTTTCTGGAACACCATGGGGTCATGTAACATAACAGAAAGCATAGCAACAACAGCAGAGCAGCAAGGTCCTAGGCTACTACAGCAAATAAAGACTTGCTCAAATGCAACAGTCATAGACACAGAATTAAAGGAAAGAAACTGCTTACCTTCAAAAAACTTCAGATAGGCAGAGATCGCCAGCAAGATACTCCTTATCTCCACCGCCAACCCTTAAATGAGCTCTGGGAAGGGGTGGATCCTGGCTCCACTCCTTCCGGTCACTCAGGTGCATTGCATACACCTGAGCTCCCCTAGGATGGCCCTCCCTTCCCACTAGGTCCTCAATCACTGGTTCAGGTTATGACTTAGCATTTCTGCTGCAGTTAGTACACCTTAGTGTCACATGAACATTCAGGGGTGATAACAGAAATACTTTGAGATTCTCCTGCCGTGGTTAAATCAAAAATAATGAGAAAGAACTAGGTCTTCTCTCCTGCCTGTCACTTATTCTAATCTTTCATGCTGCTGTCTTATGATTTGCATTTCATACTGGTATTTCCTTTTTAAAGCAATTTTCTGTTCCTGTTAATTGTAATGTTACAGATAAAGCAAAGGAGAACACTTAAAACCTTTTTTCTGAAACGCTTTATCAATCACTTGATCAGAAAAATGCATTTAAAATGCTAATGCATGCAGAGGTAAAATTTAAGTAACTGCTGTTAATAGTGGTTACAATGAGGTGCATTCACTTCCTTTGGCATTTGGGAGCATGTGGAAACAGCACAAGCCTGAAGATAACTGCTCACTGTGACACCTATTACTATTACCAGATTCATTTTCATACCCAGAATGACATACGTCTGTTCTGTTTAAATACAGTCACAGTCCTAAAGCAGGAGCGGAAGCTGCTGTAAGCTCTCTGCATTCATGTTTTGTTTTGGCCAAGATTTTCTGTCAGTATCTTTCCATGCTGCTTAACAGTCTAACACTGCGCTGAGGTTTGGACCTCCTGTAGCTATTGCCACTCCTGTAGCTGTGCTGAATATTGACAGTCTAGGGGGTTCACAGTTCCAAAACCTTTGTGAATTGGGATTCAGGGCTGCCCTGCTAGAGATGGGAAGAGCTGTCTATCCAAGGTGCAGTTTTTGACCTGGAACATATATTACACTCCTGCTCCTTGATGGCTTTGTTCTGTAAAGGGGTAGTAAAGTATTTCCGTTTCCCTGCACTTGAAAATAACAGTCATGGATTATATGAGAGG